AGAGGGGGCGGGCGGGCAGGGCCTGGTGCCCCCCGCGCTGTCCGTGCACTCACATGAAGCCGGCCCCCTCCCCGGCCTGGGGCTGGCAGGTGGCGCCGTTGGCGCAGGGGCGGCTGCTGCAGCTGTTGAGAGACACGTCGCAGTCCCGGCCCTGGCCAGGGGGAGCAAAGGGCAAAGGTCAAAGCAAGGAACTGGGACCCTCCAGGAGTGCCTGGGCACATGGCCCAGCGGTGCCTGGGTCCCGATCCGGGGCGCAGAGCAGAGCCCCTGCAAGCCACTGGCTGCCCCTTGCCCTCCCTGCAGGGGCCAGGCGGGGCTGGGGACCCCTCCTCGGCCCCTCACCTGGTAGCCGCTGGGGCAGGTGCAGCGGTAGGAGCCGAGCGGGTCGTTGTGGCAGGTGCCGCGGTTCTGGCAGGGGCTGGACACGCAGGGGTTGCACTTGGCCTGGATGCTCAGGGCTGGTGGACCTGCGGGGGGAGGTCATGGGGTAGCCACAGACGAGCGGCCATGGGCCAGCTGCGGCGGTCCCGGCACTGTCCTGGGCCCCTTCGTGCCCTGGAAGCTGCCAGCCTTTCCCCCCTCCTTGCTGGATCACTGCCCCCATTTCACAGGGTGGCAAACTGAGGCACAGAGCAGGAATGGCCCCAGCAGCAGATTGCAGCTGGGCCCCGCCACCCCCAGGCCCGTCGCACCCTGCAGCCTGGCCCCGGCCTCACCTTGGCACTCAAACTTCTTGGCAGGGGTGGTGAGCAGCAGCTTGCCCTCCATGTCGGGGGGCCCGGCGCAGCGGGCAATGCCGGGCTCCTTGTAGCCAGTTTTGACCCAGCTGGACAGCCAGCGCAGGTGGCAGTTGCAGTGCAAGGGGTTGGCACCGATGGCCCTGCACACAGGAGGGAGCACCGGGGCCTGAGCATGGCACAGCCCGGGGAAGCCACCCTTGGGGGTGCAAATGGCCCCGGGCACCGCCAGCTTTCCCTGCACCCGTGGGTGCGAGACAGGCTGGTGCAGCGCACATGTGTCTCCAGCAGGGGGCACATCGCGTCCCTCTGTCCATCCCCTGCATGGTGGCCAACACGTGGCTGCGGGAGGACACGGGCATCGCTCGCCAAGCCTGGCATCAAGTTCGTGGCCAGGGCAGGTAGAGCCCAGGGCAGCCTCCAAAAACTCCGGAGCCACGGCGAGCTCAGGCCACGTTCCCCGTGCCCGGGCGGGTGCCGGGTGCTACTCACAGGTGTGACAGGGAGGTGACGTCGGCGAAGATGCCCTCGGGGAGGCTGGAGATGTCATTGCCGTGCAGAGACCTGCGCGGAAGGCAAGGCTCTGAGCCCACGGGTGCTGGCAGTAGGTCCCAGACCGGAGCTGGGTCGTGGGGGTCCGGCCAGCCCTGCCCCTCCACTGTGGCACGGCCGGGGGGCTGCAACTGAGCCCACTGGCACGGGGCCCACGGTGATGGGGTGGGCGCTGTGTCTGGTGGAGAGCCCCCCCACCCGTGCCGGCACAGGGAGAGAGGCAGGCTGGCGCACGCTACTCCCACCGCAGCCGGCCAAGCGCCCGGGACACGCAGGTACTCACAGCAGCCGGAGGGAGCAGAGCCCCTTGAAGGCCAGCGGCGGGATGCACTGCAGGGTGTTGTAGCTCAGGATCCTGGGGGGATGCAACACAGTCACGGCACCATTCCCCCCGCCAGGACCCCTGCCCGTCCGCCACCCTTCAACGCCTCCGACACCCCTGCCAGGGCCTGAGCTGCTGTGCTCCC